ACTAAAGTTTTACGAGGAAATTTATAGATTGGTGATATTTTGACAACTGAAAACCATACAATCTCTTTAAACAACTCACTTTTATTAATATAATAATCTATAAAATGATTGAATAAAAATAAAAATAAAGCAAAACTATTATTATAATATTAAAAGAGAGTTGTTTATAGGAGTTGTATGGATTTGGGTTGTCAAAGTATCATTTTCCAAATTTATATATCTATAATGTCATTGTAAGACATAAATTAAATTATATTAAAAAGGATTAAAACGTATTTTATTCATGTATAACTAAATATGATTTTTTAAATATTAAAAAAACTCGTACAAAAATCGTATGGACCTCATCAAATGTGTTTCGTGGGATTTTGTCCTCATCCCCATTTCAAAAACCTCCACAATCCAAATGAAAAAAAAATTTGTCATACTTGACATTTCAAGTTTAGATTTTTCAAAAGAAAAAAATTTAACAATGACGAAATAATTATCATAATTTTTACTTAAACACAATTATGTTAAATCAAGTTTTTTTCTCTTAATTTTTAATGATATTTTTTTGTTTGAAAATAACTGAGCTTGCTGTTTGCAAGCAAAATTCGAAAACAATTTTCTTCTTTGACATTTTCAAATCTTTTAGATTATAATTTTATCATGACTTTGTAAGCAAAATCGGGCTTATTTTTGTTTGCTAGGAAAAATGTATTAGACATTATGTTAGATAAGAGTAAAAAAAATCTTTTGAAAAAAAAAATCTATTTAAGTATGGTTTAAAAAATATAAATTAAAATATATTCATTCTCTTGTATAAAAAAATTATATTAATCCTAATAAAATATTATATAATTTGTAAAATATTTTTTATAAAGAAGAAAAATCTTGACAACAACATATTCAACGTAATGACATCGCATATAAAGGTGATACTCTATTGATTGAGTGTTCATTGAATTTGATTGAACCTAAAGATGAGAGGTTTACCATATTGCATTATATCAAGTGTTGGTTTGAAAAAATTGATGAATTGGCAATCCATAATTGATGGTGACAAAATATATATAGTTTGATTGGATTGGTTGTGACACAAGAGTTGTGAATGAGATAGGTAGGAAGATTTAATATGAGTCTTTGTTTCCGACAAGAGGCTAGTAAGTATGTGATGTTGTTATCATGGGACAAGAGAAAGGAGTTGAGAGATGCAGAAGTAGAAGTTGGATTCTACAATGACCTTTGTCTCACCTATCTCTGTCACCATTTTGGGGCCGAAAGAAAGGTCTTCCTTATCGCTCCAACCTCTGCTTTTATTTGTAGCAAAAGGTACACCAAAACACGCAGTCCAATCTGTGAACTTAGCCCTACCACCAAACCACACCACAGACAATGAATGAATGAATGGGTTTGTTTGTTTGTTTGCACCAAATTTCAAAATATTTTTAAATGGAAACCCAGATCCCGATTTCATGCAAGGAAGCAACAGATAGATCTAGAGACAGGAGAGGTGAAAGTGAGATTGTCTCAGCTTTCTTCTCTGTGACACTGCAAAGTTATAATTAAGGTGAAAGGGAGAGGAGGAGGTTGAAAGAAACAGAAGTGAGTGAGGTGAGGCTAAGTGTTGTGTTTTATTTACCTTCCTTTATTTGTCTCTTGTGAGGGTAGCAGTGGTGGCAGGTTCACGTACCCTCTTTTGAGGCCAAAGGAGTTCTCCTATGTTGCTATTAAATTCCCATTTTAGAACCCATTTTACCCATTTTGCAAAAGTGCCACCATTTTTTGTGCTAAGAAAAGCCAGTGTGCCACAATGGAAACACTGGATTCATAGGTCTATGATCAAATATGGTCCCCGTTGAAGGCTGCCTGGGGGGCCATCTGACACATGCCTTCCCTTTTTCACGCCTTCTCCATCCCCTCTCTCTCTTCCTAATCTACTCTGTACGCTCTCTGCATTAAACACTCAACTTTGTTGCGCCCCAAAAGTGAAGTAGGATCATCCACACCACCACCACCTCACCAAATTCTCACCCCTTCTCCTAACCCCCTCTCTCAACTCTACTGCCACCCCCTCCTCTACCTACCTTAATTTAAATCTTCTTAGTAGTAGAAGTAACAGTAGCAGTATATATATACTCTTTCCAACTAATTCTTTATATATATCTTCATATTATATCAACTTAATGTATATTAACTGTCAACATAAGATAGTATTGTATATTGTTAACCAATTAAAAATTATGCGATATTACTGTCTTAAGATAACTAAACAAAGTCAATAATATTATCTACCTTGGTGTTTAAGGATATAATTATTTGTCATACTATGCCATACTGGGTTAATACCATGTTGTCATACATATATAATCAAATAAAGTTCAGGTGTATGTTCCAATATACACATTGAATAGATTGGGAAAACAAGTTATGCATTGATATTATATAAAGCAGTTTTCCAATAAACACAAAATATTATGTATGATAAATTAATTAACTTTTATAATAATGGTTTTAAAAATAACAATGATTACTTTTAATAATTGTTTGATGGTATGTATTAATTTTCGATAATGTTGATAGTTTTACATCATTTTGCTTTAAAGTTTATGCATATATATGTTTTCTTTTAGAGGAATCTAATCCAGTGAACTATATTTAAATTGCTGCAGACGCTTATGACCTCTCTCTATCTTCCCTTCACTGCCTTCGTGGTCCATGCATTCTTCTTAACCGAGTGAGGCCCATATAAACACAGATAAAGATTGGAGCTGGAGTGGAAGTTAAAGGGAAGAGAGACAAGAAAACAAGTCCAGACATGGAGTGGAATGGGAGCACAAGAAGTTATGTTCCTCGAGCAGAGTCTTCCTTCAGCTTCCTTTACAACTACAACTATACCCCATATCCAGGTAAAACCTTATCAAAACACTATCTTCTTCTAATAAAACCATTCACCCTTTTCCTTGAATGGCATCAACTTACTTCTTTTTTTTCACTCATCATAGCATCCTACTTACCCATTTCAAACACTTAACTTCTCCCATGCATTTTAGTAACTCCTTTACGTTTCTAGACTACTTTCAGACTCCATTTTTGTAAGTTTTCGCATGAATAGTAACTTGAAGTCCAAGCTATATTACCCACCATATAATTATTGCTTTCTTGAACAAGTAATACAAATAGGTACTCTTACTCTTAGTGTTGTTACAAGAAGCAAGTTAATTTGGCAACCCCATCTGATCTTTTAGCTTGAAAAGACACTGAACATTAAGAAAATTAAAACCCTTCTGCACTAAACCCTCTCTCTATCTGTTAATTAATCAAGGAATGGAAGTGAAGCCACACAGTCTAGCAGAGTCAAGTTCATCCATGGAAAAAATGAACTGCGGGAACCAGGAGAAGAAGAAGAGATTAACAAGTGACCAGTTAGATTCGTTGGAGAGTAGTTTCCAGAAGGAGATAAAGCTAGACCCTGATAGAAAGATGAAGCTTTCCAAGGAGTTAGGGCTTCAACCTCGCCAAATTGCTGTTTGGTTCCAAAATAGGCGTGCAAGGTGGAAGAACAAGCAACTTGAACACTTGTACGATTCACTTAAACAGGAATTTGATGCTGTATCCAAGGAAAAACAGAAGCTAGAGGAAGAGGTAAATTACATATATACAACACAGTGATAATATATACATCATCATCACTCATTACTATTTTTCGTTCATCACACCATACACTTATGTTATTTGTACTTCTCTGTTCACTTTATTTTTTCTGAATAGCTGTCATCTAGTATTGGATGACAGTGAATTTATTTTCTCATACAAAATGTACACCAATCTCAAATTTTAGACACGTGACGATAGTGCAATCACCCATTATTTGTCACTTTTCACGTCTATATCCTTTTTCTTTCTGTTTCTTTCAATCTCAACGGAGACACCCCGAATTTCTACCTCAAGGAAAAAAAAAAACGAGTGATAAATTTGATAAATAATAACGATGATAGATGTATATTCCATTTTTTTAAACATCTTATTGATATTTTTTTAATCTTATCACATCATAATAATTATTATAAAATTTATATTTTTTTATCTGTGTGAAAGCATCACGTGAGAGAGAAATAAAAATAAATGATTAATGTGAAATGGGTTTTCACTTGGATGCATAAAAGTTGGAGTTTTATGTGTACATTTTATATTCTCTCTATGCATGCAGCTGTTGCAAGTAACACTCACACTCATAGAGCCATAAACACTCTGTTAAACCTTTTGCTGTATGTGTTTTTGTTTTTCAAATCGGCATCACTGTTTTTCTTCGCTTGCATTGACATAATGATTGGGGCTTTGGTGAAGTGTATAGTATGAAGTTGACATTCATTCGTTCGAACTGGTAATTTCCTTTCGCTATTTTGCGTGTGCAGGTAATGAAGTTGAAGGGTATGCTGAGAGAGCAAGCTTCTAGAACTCAAGTGTCAACAGGTTACACAGAAATCTCTGGGGAAGAAACTGTAGAAAGCACGTCAGAGGCTCTGCGTAGCTCCAAACGGAGAACACTGCAGCAGCAGCAGCATCAGAATATGGGAGAAGGAAACTGTTCTTTCACCTTGGAAGATTACAACACAGTTCCAGTACTACCCTACTGGCCTGGGATCTCCTACTATCCCTAATCAATTATATTATGTGTTTGAAGAATAATAATGTGAGTGCTGAGTTTAGTTAATTAACTTAATTGATTCGTACGTAACGTTGTGTGTGTGTGTGTAGTGTAGATGGATGGAAAACCCTTTTTCCATAGGAACTGACATTAGAATCAAATCAAAGCGATCGAGCAGACCTGCATGTTGTTGGTTGGTACGGTAATTATAGCTATAAAATAGCTGTTCCACCAGACATCACTTTATTAGTCAATTCCAAATTGCATGAAACTCTTTAATGGTTATTACGTACTGTTATTATCTATATATTTATTTTTTCTAATGTTTGTATATATATATACTATGATTTTAATGTTTTTAATTAATGTTTCTTACGTCATGAAATGTAGTAGTGTACGTATACGCAAGGAAAGTCCTTTTCTATTTAGGCTGAGAAGGACTCTGTTGTATGTATGAATGATGTGTCAGGAACACCTAAAACATCGATCCATACTTAATGGAAAAGAATAAAACAAAGAGAAGTAATGAATTTTTAGAAAATATGATATGTAAAAAATTAGAGAAAAAAGGTGTTTATTGGTTGAGAGTTAATTTGAATAATGAAACTTTCTTTTAAGATTGTATTGGATTTTCTTAAACAGGACATTGAACCTGTAATTTGTAAGTATGTCAGTGAAAATAGGTAGAATTAAAGTCGTTTCTTTTTCCTTTTGATTGGGAAATTTGTATATGACAAAATATTTGTTCAAAATGTTTCTTGCCTGGGTTTAGTACCCACAGCTTGAAAAATTACTATTTCATCTTATGATAATGTAGTTCGATTCCTCTAATCTTCACGTCACATAAATTAATCTATGAATTTCAAATTGTGTGACTGGGAATTACATAGATGGGTAAAATGTTCCTTAATGCATGTAGTAAGTTTTTATGTTGCATTGGAGTAATTTTAATCTCCAAACTCATAGAAATATGAGGAGTTACGAAAACGATCAGAAGCATGAATGGTAAGAGTGCACTAGGCCCTGTTGGCTTTGGAGGTCTATTCTACCAACATATTTGAAGATCATTTTTGACATGAGGTTTTCAGAGTTGTCAAACAGTTTTTCTCTTAAAATTGGGTTCTTCCTGAACTTAATAAATTTGATTGACCTCATTCAGAAGCGTAAAGATTATAACTTTCTCTTCAAAACCACCACAAAACTACTTGTTGAGGTTGCTAGGAAAATTATATCCCCTCAACAAATTGGGTTCATTAAAGGTAGAAAAATAGTTGATGGTATTAGCATAGCTTCTCCTCTTTTGTTTTGCATAAAGAGGTATTAGTAGGAACATCACATACCTAAAAGATCATTAACAAATTCTTAACATGGGTAGTGTTAAAGGAATACATTATCCAACACATGTTTTATATGCGGATGATATCTTTGTATTTTGCATGACTAACTCAAGAACGTTACGAAACATAAGTTTCTTCAAGAATACAAAACTGCTTGTGGAAAACATATTAATCCCTCTAAATGCTTGTTCTATATTGCCTCTCAGATGCAGTCTACATATAAAAAGATTACGGATATTCTTGATTTTGATGAAGGAGCTTGCCTCTCATATATTTGGGTCTGCTTCTCTTCAAATGGATTCAACGTGCTAGATTTTTATGCAGCATTTCTGATTGCATCCATAACAAACTCACTTCTTAGAAGGGTAATTTCTATCTATAACAGGGAGAGTGCAACTTGTGAACTCAGTGACTTCTAAGATAGCTCTATATAATCTACGTATTTATAGCTGGCCTGTCTCCTTGATTTTTATGGAGTTTGAGACTTGATCTGAAACTTTATCTGGTCAGGTGACATACATATTCAAAAACACATTATTGTAGCTTTTTTATTTTATTTTTATTTTTTTGCAAAATATGAGTATGTTATTTGATTAAGATTGATATAATAGTAAATTATTCTAGTTTTCTAATAACCTAATTAGATACAACTTTGTATTTTATAAATAAGTTATACATATTCTATTTCAAAAAATAAATACATTTTACTTTATATTTTTTGCATTGGTATTAGAGTAACACGATTTTTTATATAGTGAATCTTTTGAAATATCTAAATAGAATATATGAAATTTGATACATTTGAATTTAAATTTGAATCCTTTAACGATTGATAATTCTAAAGCTGGAAATTATCTAAAATTTGGTTTGTGACATCAACGTCTTAGTTATACGTCATTTAGGTACTTAAAAAATTTATTTCCTACTTTATTTAAAAAATATGATACTTCTAATTTTAATTGTGATGTTTATGAAATAACAAAGAATTATATAAAATTTTATTTTCATTAGTTTTAAATAAAACTCCTTAATTTTTAGTGGTGAAACATTATGATGTGTGAGATTCATCTAAAATCCAAAGTTAGGTGAATCTCGTTTGTTTATTACTTTATTAATGATTGTACAAGAATAACATGATTATCATTCATAAAATAAAAATATGAGGTAAGTTTGTTATTTAAATATTTTCATAAAATGGTAAAAGTTCAATATAATACTTAAATTCAAGTTTTCTCGTAATAATAATGGTGAGGAGTAAAAAATTATGAACTCAAACAATATTTAGAAGTTATTAATCAAACTATTTGTCTCAATATACCTCAACAAAATGAGGTTGTTGATAGAAAAAATCAACATTTGATAGAAGTTGTTTGTGCATCATTGATTGAAAGACACATATCATTATGTTACTGAGAAGAAACTCTTTACTTTAACAAAATATTTAATAAATCAGACTCCATCAAGTTTTATTAGTTTAAGACACCTTTTGAAATCATTCGTAATTTAATTGTCACATTAATAATTAATAATTGACCCCTTCATGTATTTGAATGTATTGTATTTGTGCATTTTCATAAGAATCAATGCAACAAATTGGTCCTACGTACAGACTATTCAATGTGTTTTTGTCAGATATGTTGTACGTAAAAAAAGAATATAGTTGTTATAATCCTCCTGCTAATCACACACACATACACATACACATACACACACACACACACACACACACACACACACACACACACACATATATATATATATATATATATATATATATATATATATATATATATATATATATATATATCAATAAGAATGAACCAACAAAAAATTCATGAAATCCAGACTCTAGAGTATATTTTGGATCTAAGTAATGCAATTTCATATCATTGCCCTTAGGAGATGAAGTAGAAGAAACTCATATTTGATCATCACAAGAATATTTATTTATAGAGTTGACATTGAAGTTCCATATATGAATCTCTTGCTAGTTCCACATGAATCTCTCTTGGATATAACATTGAAGTCTCACATGAACCTCTTAATGAAAATGTTATCAATAATTTGTTAGCCAGAAAATAATTATCAAATTATCTTATTAGAGGTATTCCTAAACCTAGGGATGACAAAATGGGGCAGCCCTCTATAATATGTCGGGGCAGGTTGGTGTTTTCAGCAGATCAATCCGTTCTGGTCTACCCCGCCAAGTCCACTAACCCATCGGGATGGGACAGGCCAGCCCGTGACCCGCCTAATTAATAAAAATAAATTTTTTATTGTAATACACAGTTATTCATAAAGACAATATATAAAAATTGTAAAAAAAGAATTAAAAAAATTTCACTCTCACTCATTACAGGAAACATCTCAAACACAAGTTCCTCTCTCTATCTCTTCTCATTGTTGCTTATCATTTACTCCTTATTCATCTTAAACACTAATTGTTCTTATCCTAATGACTTCAATTAAAATTTTAAGAATTACTCAAGGAGAGAACAATGTGAAATTTTATCAAATAAAAATATATAAGTATTTAAATTTGTTAATATAAAAAATATAAATTTACAAGTTTTGATGTTATTTATATATATTTGTTATTATTTATTATTATATAAATTTTATTATTGTTCTAAATTACAATTTCTTAAAACAATGTGTTGATTTATATTATAAACTTGAAATATATATGTTGAATTATTGACAAATAAATGATAATCTTATTATTAAATTTATTAAGAATTTTGATTTAAAAAAAATAATTTTTTTAATTATGACAAGTCAACCCACTCTTTGGCGGGACGGACCAAGGTCTACAACCCATCATGACTATAATGGGTCAGCCCGTCCTATCCCGTTTTTGGCGGAGTGGGCTAAAACGGGATGAGCTGACCGTTTTGTTATCCCTACCTAAACCTACTTATGAACAATAACTCTCTAGTAAAGTTAACTATCTTACGAGTCACCTGTCTATCTAATCATAGACCATCAAAAATAAATAAAATATTTATGAATCAATTATCTGTTGTGACTATCCCTAACAATTTGTAGGAAGTTTTAGTTTATCCAAAATAAAAGGTCATTATAATGACGAGATGAACTCACTTAAAAAATGACACTTGGATTGTTGATTGCTCACCAGGAAAGAAACCAATAGGATGTCAATAGATTTATACTATTAAACATAGTACAATGACACAATAGAAATGTATAAAACAAGGTTAGTGACAACATGATATACCTAAGCATATGAGGTTGATTATACAAAGACATTTATCTTATAGTAAAATTTAACACTATTTGAGTATTATTTCTTTAGTAACAAATTTGGATTGACCATTAAAATAATTTGATGTATAAAATGAATTTTACATTGGGAATTAACTGGAAACATGTACATGGAACTCCCACCAAATTGCATGACATTTGAAAAAAAAAATAGAAAAAAAGTATGTAAATAAATAAAAAATAATCTTTGTATGGGTTGGAACAATCTCTAAAAGTATAGTTTGAAAGATTTACAAAATCTATGACAATATTTAGATATCATTAAAATAATTCAAAACATACTTTATTTTTGAAAAAACAATAAGGGAAGATAAATTCACTTATTATATATGCGAATGATTTGATTATTACAGAAAATAATTTTAAGGAAAATAAAGCATTACAAAAATAT